ATGGAATCCTGAGAGCAGACTCCAGGGGTAGTATCTTTATTCTGGTTTAAATAATCCAGAATAAAAACAACATTTTGGGAATACAATTTTTGTAGGCAGCAGTTTAAGCATTAATGAGAGTATATGTGCTCTTCTACTTGTTACTTCTACTAATGCCTACAAAATTTGCATTTGTTGGCATTACAGAGAGGCGTAAATAAGCACTGTTGCAAAATGTGCCTATGCAGTATGAAGTGCCAAACCTTGTACTGGCAGGCTTGTGCCACAATGTTTGTGACTTCCAGAGAACCCCGTAGCATCGGTTGGCAGATCTGCGTGAACTTCAGTGCTGAGATAGTCGTGACATGAGATAATTGGCAGATCAAATATTTTCAGTGAACATATTGTTTATGTTTTATTGGATTATGTCATAATTAACCAATCCAAATTCTCAGAAGTTGAGGTCATTTTTCCACCATGGGCAGGTTGTGTGGCTGCCGCATATGGTTTGGCAAACTCTGACATCTAAAATGGGGAATACACAATAGGTTTCAGTGATATCATGTTTGGACTGTCCTCTGTTTGTAACAGCTTGTGAGTGTTCCGTCTTTTAAAGCACAAGATAATTCCGGGAAGTTTGGTATTCCTGACCATCTTTTCATAAAGCAAATTGTGATTGTTTCCTGTCCTGGAAACAAGCTTCATTGCTCGTAATTTCTGAGCTGTCAAGGAACACAGTAGGATAAGGCATCTGTGCCAGGTGGATATGACTTGCTGATGAAAAGGGCTGATTATGGAAGCATTTAAAAGGGGTTAACTGGAAGAAAGCCAGGATAAGGATAACTGAAACAAAAGAAAGGCAGAGAGCTAGCAGTATGCTACTGTGGGCAAGAGGCAAGCTAAAGTAACAGTAGGAGCAAATTCATTTGGGATGCTGAGGTCCACAATGACCAAAGAAGGTGAAATATAAGAAGCTGCCCTTTGGTTTCATGTACAGGTTGGTCAAGGCCCACATTAGTTCTTCTAAAGGCATGTAAAATACACACATGGAAGGGAAGGGCGATGGACCAGCCATCCCCTATTCCTGTCCACCATACTTCAATTGGGGCAGTATAACCTACATGCATGCATCTTGTGCTTACACGGTCTCCTCAGCATATTTGGGTACCCTTCTTTCTGTGCAGCTCCCAAACTTGCATACCTTTGTGCTTACAGAACTGATCCATGCGTGGAAGATATGGAATGTGACAATGGCCACAATCCATATATAAGGAGATCAATAGTGGATCATACCAAGGGTTCACCTGGTACATGCAGTGGCCATCCAGCTGCCCATGGGAAGCATGTTAGCAGGACAGAGTGCAGCAGCACCCTCTCCTTCGTGTGCTCGTCTGTGCCCATAGGCATTCTGTCTCCTTTTCTCTGATACTGGAAGCAGGATATAGTCATTTAGCCTAGTAGCCACTGACAGCTTTATCCTCCAGGAATTTGTCCAATGCCCCTTTAAAATCATCCAAATTGGTGGCCATTGCTACATCTTCTGGAACTGAATCCATAGTTGGTTCCATGCTGTGTGAATAAAAGTTTCCTTTTATCTGTGCCGAATCTACCACCAGTCAACCTCATAGGACGACTCTGGGTTCTAGCATTATGAGAGGAACATAATTTTGTTTGTCTCTGTCATCTGTCTCTTTACCCATCTTCTTGATCAGCTCTGATCCCATCACCTGGGATCACACCCTCCCTCTCCCTCTCCCCCCATCCTGCATTAAGGTCAGAATTAAGAGCCCTGCTGAATCAACCCAAAATCCATCTAGTCCAGCATCCTGATGCTCACAATCCCCAACCTGATGCTTCCTAGAGGTTCGTAAGCAGAGTGTGAGGGCAAGTGCTCTCTCACTGCTGTTTCCCTGCAGCTGGTAGTTCAGAGGCTGACTGGGAACTGGAGGTAATATGTAGCCATGGCTTCTATTGCATTCCATTTTTATACTGCTCCATAGCCAAAGCTCTCTGAGCGGTTTAGAAAAGTGCGTAAAACAAGCAATAAAATATAGTACAAATATCATAAAAGCAAAAAGTGTCAAAATCAATTCGAAACAGCTAAGAAAAATGCAGAAAAGTAGCAGAGAACACAAATGGTTCGTCAGTTCTTCTGGATGGCCACCTGCAATATGGGCAACAGTTCAGGAGCAGCCTGTACCAACCTTCCTATAATTGGATAGTCTTGGTTTGATTGCTCAGGAACACATTTGTTATATTTTCGTTATTTTCTAAAATGTGGCAGATTCTCTCTCTCTCTCTAATATTTATTATATTTATATCCTGCCTATTTTCCTTTCAAAAAACTCAAGGGAGCTTGCATCATTCACCTCCTCCTCTAAAATTTATCCTCATAACAATAACCCTGTGAGGTAGGTTGGGCTGAGAGTCTGTGACTGGCCCAAAGTCACCCAGTTGGCTCCATGGCTGAGCGGGGACTAGAACCCAGGTCGTCCGAGTCCCAGTCCCATGCTCTTAACCACTACACCACACTGGTTTACATATAATTTTCACCATAGGGCTGACCCAAAATGTTTTGTAGCCACTGGCTTGTACCATGAATTGTATCATGACTTGTAGCCACTGATGACCTTATTTAGTCTGTTAATTAATCTTCTCTTTCAAACCATTCTAATCTGATGACCATCTCACATCGCAGGACTTCATTATGGTACACAAAACTCTCACTCTATATATGTTCTTACTATTTTTAAATAAGAAAAATACAGATTTCCCCAATACAGACTCGTATTAAGATCCTCAAAGAAGGTCTTGCTGGTGTCGTCATGTCCCAGCAACCCAGAATTAGGTCTTTCCTGTGATGGTGGTCGCAGTATAGAAACATACAAAACAGAGCAAGTCAGAAGGGGCCTCCTGGGCCATCTAGTCTGACCCTGGCTCCAGCCAGCTCCACTCATGACATGCCTACCATGTATAGAATGCCTCTCCGGCAGTATTTGGAAGGTGCCAAATGTATTATGCAAAGTAAAGACCCATTGCTTTGTCCAGCCCTTCCCTGAGAGGATGTGCTACCCAATCTCTCTGTTTGGAATTAGGCTGTTGTTTTAACTGTTTTTAAAGTTTTTGATTAATATTTTAGCAGTTTTATGTATTTTAATTACATTTAAATGTATGCAGTAAGGTCTCTTGTAAACTCATCTGATATATTTTTAAATAGATTCAGTGGTATATAAATCTATTAAATAATATTATTACAATAAAAATATAATTTTAATTACCTTGTCAGCATGAAATTGTAGGAAAGCAGTGAGATCAGCATCCTATTGTTAGACTATATGGATGGAGTCATACATTCTGCTGCTTCTTGCTTACTTATGGATCTGTTCATGATCTATTCTCTTAATTCAATAAGAGAGCTATTCTTTCTTAACTGTAAGATAGCAAAAGCCTGGCTTAATTGAGGTAAGAGCCTTTTGAAATGGTGGAATTTGAACTGTGCAAATGGATCTTTGACGATATCCATTTCTGTTCCAGATGTTTTAGGCAATGATCCCACAGGTAAAAGCAACTAAAATCTATTATGGATCCCCCATAAACTAGAGGCAAATTAGCATTGATGCAGGCAGGCACATCTTTGGTTGAAGATGGCCACTCAAGTAATTGCTTCTAGCTGAGAACAAAAATGTCAATTGCTTTAACTTTCATGCAGAGCAGTTCCCTCTTCTTCAAGAAAGGAGGTGCTGAGTGGTGTATTCATTGTTGTTATGTCGCCTGATGCAAGACACACCTGCGGAAGAATCTCCCTCCCATAGGTGTGCCTGGCAGTCTCAGAAAGGGAATGCTGAGGCTGTGGTTGCTCCTCCCACTAGGCAAGTCTTAATGCTACTAATACCAGCTCTAAGTCTACCATGATATGGGCCAGTGTACACACACGCCCTGTTCCTGGGGCACGGGTGAAGAAGCCTTATTGGCTCCAGGGGCTGAATTGTCCCTTGAGATCTCCCCATGAGCTTGAGTGGGGCACCATCAGTGACGTGGTCAGATCCCCGGCTGAAGTGCTGGCTGAAGCCCTTCCAAGCAACACTGTGGGTCATGTATCATCCATCCTTTCCTTCCCTTTTCCTGCAAGGAACTTCTGCAAGCACCGATTAAGTCTGCAGCTTGGCTTTCCTCCTCTTTCTTATTCCAAGCATAGGGAATGAGTAACGGGCGTGGTGTACACTTGGCCAGTGTCCATGCCATTTCCCCTGTATCCAGTTACAGATCAGAGTTAATGGAGCGTTCCCTTCTCACCTCCCCCTAACACCATCAATAGCCTCCCAATCAGCAGGCAGGACTTAGGGAAGGCCCATAGAAGGAACTCAAGCCCCCATGGATGAGGTGGGAACCTCCATAGCTGAGGTGGGAGCCACCATGGTCCAGAGGTTCCCCATACCTGCCTTAGAGGCTCCATATTTCTCCTGGTTGTTGCAGTTTTTAGCTTCTGGTAAATGAATTGTGCAAAGCGGCAGGTTCAATTTTCTCAAAACACAGAAAAGTGTGGTGATTCCTGTGTCAGTCAGTGAGCCAGTGCACGCATCAAGGTTCCAGTCTGAACCTTTAAGGAGCAATCTGTGGTGCTGAACTGAACCCCCACACTAGGTTCAGCACCAAGGACAGCTATTTAAAGTTTTGGCTGAAGCCCCGACGGATCCATCACCCCACTGGTGCTGGAACCACCAGCCACTGCTACAGAAATGAATTAAGTTATTCTTTCAACCAAAAGCAAGGAGCAGCTAAACACAGTCAGGATAGTAGTGAAGCCATGTACTCTGGCCATCCATGAACAAGAGACTAAGTTGAACTGAAATGAGTGCACATATGTGCCTCTCTGTGTAAAACTTAGCTTTCTTTTCTGGAAAAAATTACTTTATCCACTGATCAGAATCTCTTGAGAGCACTTACCTCCTGCAGCATGTAATTAATGTGGGAAAATGTATTGCATTTTTGAAATTACACTGTGTGCATTTGCTCCTTTTTAGATGACTCCACTAATCAACCAGGCATGTGACATCCTGCTGGGTAACTTAAAGGTCTATGCAGATTCTGGCACAGCTTTTGACATCCAAAGGTACTTTAATAAATTAGAAATGAGAGAAGTTTTTGCAGGTACTTGATTTGCCAAAGTATCCTAAATATGCAATTATTTTACAAATGGAGTTTTAAATTTATCTCGCTCGTCTAATGTGGACTTTTCTTGCTATCAAAGGAACACATATTTCTTCCATTTGTACCTTCACTAACCCCAGCAATTACAAACAAAAGTATGGTAGCCGAGTAACTAGTCTTAATGAAGTTTAATAGCCAGAATGATAAACCATGCTTTATAAACCATGATAAATCACTGATTAACCATGGCTTATTGTGATACACAGGGCCCATGCACAACTCCTGTGCTACAGGTGGAGGGAGACTGAAAGCTTTTGGTTTCATGTTTTAATTAACCACTGTTTAGTGTTATGGTTGATTTTAAATACAGTTTGTTGTACCAAACTGAACGGACAATGAATTTTTTGTTTGCTTAAAATAGGAATAGTAATCTTGGTACCCTCCAGATGTTTGGGATTTCAATCCTATAAACCAGTGTCAGCATAATCAATGGTCAGGGACCAGAGTTGCAGGCCAAAGCCTCTCATTGACTACTCCAGATTTAAAGAAGCTTTACTGCAGTTTTCAGACGTAACAGCTCCCCAAGTAGCTTGCATGGGATCTGTAACAAATAAGTACCTGAGAGAGGCACCCCACCACAAAAAGGAGGGGTGGTAAAGGGAAGAGATGGGGAGGGGGAAGCAAACTCAGGCAACAAGTAGTAAATTTACATAGTTCTTATGTCAACTGATATGTATGGAAACAGTTGATGGAAAGAAAGAGGAAGCTGATGGAGCTGATGGTGTAACTGAGACATATTGCAGTAAAGATTAGCCACACTTTGTTGAGTTCAGACAGTGGCAATCTCAGTTTACGTGAAAGCTTCTAATGTCCTTCTGCCCATGCTGGAGGAGGAGAGGTAAAGAGGCTTCCAGTTATAAGGAACAAGAGTAGGATGGAGGACACTCAGAAGAACTGTATTGGTTTAAAGTTGAAGGAGGTATGATGCTGCCACTATATTCATGGTGCCCATACTCCACTCTTTGAATTCGTTGTTATTCTCAGGAGAATGGGGTATACACTCTTGCAACCTTCCACCATGCCTGAACACATTTCCCTCAGAGCCTTTAAGCATCATGGCATGCCTTATTTATTTATCTATTACATTTTTATTCCATCCAATAGTCAAATCTCTCTGGACAGTTCATAACCATTCTTGGTACCCAAATCTCTGTGAAGGGTGGCTGAACAGCAAAATTTGAAGGCCTGACATGGGAAACAGTGTACAGTATATTTGTATTTATTTTATTTATATTCTGCCTTTTCCTTTCAAGGAACTCTTGCATGATCCTCTTCATTCTCAGTTTTATCCTCACAAGAAAAACTCTGTGAGGTAGGTTAGGTTGAGAGTCTGTGACTGGGCCAAAGTCACCCACTGAGCTCCACGGCTCTTTAGGATGAGAATCTGGAGCTCCCAAGTCCAACTAGATTCTAGTTGGAGTCTAGTTACTGGAATGTTGTCTCTGCCTATCTTTCTCCAAAATGGATTTTGGCCTTCAGACTGAAAGAGGTTTTTCATTCCTGTCTTAGAAGGACAAGGGATCTTATAGAAGGCAATCTCATCTAAATATTGAAGCATTAATTGAGTCCTATAGCATGGTAATTTTTAATCAAATATTTATTTATTTATTTATTTTTATTTCCTTGTTACAATACTTACAGCAGGTTTTTTGTGTCCAAAATGGCTTTGTAAAGGTATCATAATCATCATTGTCATCATCAAAATGCTTTGCATATAAGTTGCTTCCACACCAGAGCACACTTGCATTATAGATGCATCCCCACTCCATAATTTGTTTAATTAGGGCGGTCAAATTGAGCAAGTTCATTCTGCACAGCAATTAATATAGCTTTTAATATACTGTTCAGGATTGTCAAACAATGCCATTTCCCATGGTCAAGCTTCTTCTTTAATGTTTGCTCACAAATAAGTCCTATTTAACAAAGAACCTAAACTTCATTAATTAAATTATTCCTGTTTGGAGGTCCTGCCTCTTTTATTGGTTCTTATTGATCATGGTTGAGGGATTTCGCTATGCTAAATTCTGTATACATGATGGCTGCTGTTGATGAATATGTAAATTGGTTCCCTTGTAAAGCATGCATTTGAAATCCTCTGTTAGTTCTGTCCTTATATTTGCACCTGTGATGGCATAAATGCAATTATTTCTTGGTGTAATTAGTGAAGAGAACCTTGGTGTGAACTAGCCCTAGAACTTTTTGAAACTGGTGGTTCAGATAATGGGGAATTTATTGTGTTTACAGCCATTCATAAGTATGTGTTGTTTTCCATTTAAAAGTACAGCTTTTTATCATTCATAAGACAAAGTATAAATATTGTTCATAATCAGCTGCAGAGGAAGCAGCACATAGTTTTTTGCATGTTATAAATATCCCTTGACTCTTTGAAAGAACTGTTTAAAAGGCTTAATATATAAACATTCAAAACCTCTTACACCGATTCAGATGTCTGAAGTCCCAAGAGTATTGTGTAACGAAAGAGGAACAGAAATATGTAGTGATAGAAACAGCAGTTTTAACATTAGCATTCTTGCATCTGATATAGGAATTATGGTTATTTCACTCTGGATGTTGTTGCTAGCGTGGCTTTTGGTACCAAAGTAGACTCCCAGAAGAACCCCAATGATACTTTTGTGAAGAACACAAGAAGATTCTTTGAACTTTCATTAGTTGGACCTATCTTAATCTTAGCAAGTAAGTAGACTATTATACCATTGACCACATATCACCTAATTGTTCCTAACTCTTCCTTGAGCAATAGTACATTCTGTGCTGAAAGTTATTAATGGTGGATTTTTGAATTGCCATCTGGAAGCCAAGCCAGCATACTCACATGGTTTCTTGATGACGACCTGCATCCTCAGCTGTTTTCCATAAAGTTCTACTTCTTCAAAATTCTTCAGATCCCTGAAATCACTAATTCATCAATTCATTGAATATATTGATTTTGTGAGTTCCACTCTGATAAGGATATCAAGTATTATTGTGCATGTTGGACTTCGGATGACACCACCAAAGTTTTCATTGGCATATAATGACATTTCAGTGCATTTCATCATCTGCAAATTTCAAGGACAGTCAGAAAGAGTTTTGCTCAAACTCATGGACTTCTTTTGTGGAGCTCCATGCATGAATAGGTCATCACTGGCTTTTGCTTAAAGCAAATTTTGTAGATTTCTCCTCAGGGTGCCTCATCAAAGCCAGACATATCTAGTACATATGTTCATTTAATTGTTTAGAACAGTGGCCACTCAGTGTGTAGAACTGGAATTTATTGTTCTCCATTTTAATTTAAGGTAGTCCCCATATTGCTATGAGAGGCATTGATCAAGGCCCAAATGTGTGCAGTGAACACAACTAAGTCTTTATGAATATTACGCAGCAGGGTAGTTACTACAAAAAGAAAGTACTTCAGGGCAAATTCCTCATATGAAAAAGCCTTTAGTGACCTTCTGCTTCATGGTTCACTTAGTTAAAGGGTACATTTACACATAACTTTCCTGCAGCCATGAGACAAACCTTGTGATCATCTAAGGAATCTGTAAATATGGTGCAGTTTGTTTTTTTGGAGAAGGATATACTGACATAAGCAAAGCAAGGCAGCCTGATGGGAATGGAGTTAATGTAGCTGTCCAATCACGTTTTCAGAATTGCCTCATCATGCAATGCAGTTTGGTTTGTGCAATTTTTTAAAATAAGCCTCATATAAATTAAAGTCATTGCTGCAGTGCTGTAGAGTCTTGTGTGCACACTAGTTTTTCTTCTTTTTAGACAATGTTGAAAATTTAAGGACCCTTTCTAAAACAAAGTGCTTTCCTTAATATCCTGAGTTCAGAAAGCATGTGAGAACCCTTAGCAAAAGTGACAAAGAGGAATCAGAACAGTAAACAGTTCCCAATAAATGAAGTGTGGGGGGGGGGCGGGGGGCTGTGGGAAGCATAAAGTGAGTGTGTGGGAATAACTGCATGAATTGCTAATCTTGCTCTTTTGAAACTCTCTTGAAGTTGCATTTCCGTTCATAATGGTTCCCCTGCTCCGGATTTTGCCAAATAAGAAGCGTGATGAGGTGAATGGATTTTTTATCCATGTCATTAAGAACATGATTGCTTTGAGAGACCAGCAAGACCCAAATGAGGTAAGATATCCTGTGCATTATGAAGAACCCTGCTAGACCACTTCAGAGCTTCTTAAAAAGGGCTATTCAGGATCACACCAAGATCAATCTAGTCCAGTGCTTTTCCACCACTGGCCCATGGACCAGTGCCAGCCCACAGGAGATTTCCTGCTGGTCCATGGGGGGGGGGGTGCATGCCACTCACTGTGGACTGGTGTGGGGTCTGGCTGTGCTCCACTACCTCTTCCTCCGGTGGGCTCCCCTTCAGGGGGGGGGGGGGGAGCTGCCAGTGCCACCAGGGGACCGGGGAGGGGAGAGATGGCTCCGTGGGAGCTACACCGTTCTGATTTTGGTATTTTGTTCTTTTGCTGGCATTTTTTGCTGCTTGGTTTCTGGTTGTTTTGGAGAATTTTCTTTCTTTTTTTTTTTTTTTTTTTTGGTTTTGTGTTTTGAAAGTAATACACAGAATACAGAAGCGATCCCTGAGGTGGTTTTCCTGTTTTTACCAGTCCCCAGCTGTGGAAAGGCTGAAAACCACTGATCTAGTCTAGCATTTTGTTTACACAGTGGCCACCCAGTTGTTCACCGGAAACCCACAAGCAGGACATGAATACAACATTTCCTTCCCACCCATGTTCCCGGTGTGCATAGGGTTCTTCTTACACTGGAGGTAGCATATGGCAAATCACATCCTGTAGCCAACAGAGGACAGCCAGAAGGCTCTGGAAAACCTGTAAGCAAGGTACAAGTACAGTGGTACTTCCTGTTTTGTTGTCCTCAGCTTCTTGGTATTCAGATGCATATCTGAGCTTGAGTTCCCATTGAAACGGGCAGCTGTTCAGGTGCACATGGACTCCCTGGCATGGTGCTCACACACAACAATTATGTGAAAACTGGCATTTTACATTAAACTGATTTAACATTCTGAACAGTTCAGTTGATTGTTTTGCACTTGACTTCTACATGTTTTTGCACTTCTTCGGGTTCATTGCCAGTGGAACTGTGAAAAGGGTACAAGGAAGTTTGTTTTTCTGGTGTCTCAGTGTTCTCATTAAGACTAGTATTGGAAATTGCACTTACAACTTAATCCTGCAAAATTTCCAACCCAGTTATTCCATCCATTTAAAGCCATGAAATTTCTTCAAGTATCTATTTTTAACACTGCATGTTTTTCTTTGTTTTTTTGCTTTTAACACTTTTCTTCATATGCTTCCTTATTATAGATATTTATATTCCTCTTGTTTCTGTCATCCTTAATCATACCCTTAAAGCTGAAACACTCTCCCTGAACTCTTGTGAGATGTTACTTCTTAGTTCCTACAGGCCGCAGCTAAAAACTCATCACTTCCGTCAAGATAAAGTGATACACCGCTCAGGGGTGTAGAACCTCAGATGGTATACTCAGCCCCAGCTGAAATGAAGCCTGCAGTACTCATCTGTGCCTACTCAGGATTTGATCATCTCACTCATAATTCTTGCTGCTATGTGAGGCAAGCCAGGCTTTAGCGAATGGAGTCAACCTGAAAGTAGAACCACAGAGACAGGAAAGTCAATGTGCCACTCCATTGGTGCTGGCGATGAGATGCAAAGCCATGTGGGCTCTCCTCTCCCCAAACTGTATTCTTTGCTCAGCCTGCCACAGTAGCAAAGAAACCTCTGTCCCCACTTCTTGCTCTCAACTAGAAAAGTAGATGCTTCTGTTACCCCTCTGCCCACATAGCTCCAATCTTAATGCCAAGAAAGAGGAGCAAATTTTCCATCATCCTCTGTTTGACCCATAAAGGACCTGACCTTGCCTCTTGTAGGAAGGGTTGAGCAAGAAGTCTAGCCTAAACTGACATAGTAATCTCTTAGGGATTGTTAGGAAAGGAATGGAAAGTAAAACTGCAAATGCCACAGTGCCTTTAAATAAATCCATGGTTCAGCCACACTTGGAAATGGAAGGAAAATGTGGAGCATGGTGCACATTTCTAGTCACTGTCTAGGTACACAAGCAGGACTGGAGTGACTCCCCTATAAAAAAATGGGTATTTAGGCTTTTTATGTTAAAAATAACGAGAAAGGGGCAATCAAAAGACATGAGAGAGGTGTTTAAAATTACACATGATGTGGAAAGCAAGGCTAAGGAAATGTTTTTCTTCCTTTTCCATAATATTAAAATTTGGGGTCAACCAATAAAATTGAATGGTCGGAGATTCAGGACAGGTAAATAGATGTACTTATTTCATGCCACATAGTATAACTGTGGAATTCAACCCACTAGGTGTAATGAGGACAACCAGCTTGGACAGCTTAAAGAGTGGGGAGTTAGTCCAATTTAAGGAAGATGAGGCTGTCGGTGGCTACTAGCCATGATGGCCCCAATAGCTGAGGTAGGATGCCTCTTGGTACCAGTTGCCTGGGAATGTGACAGGAGATTGCATGGAATTCTTGTGCATACCTGCCTAAGAGCTTGCAGTTTCCTGCTTCTCTGGTCTGAACAGCTAGCTTTGCCCTCAACTTCCTATAAGAGAGCAAAGTGGGCCAGCCATATCCAGGAGCATCAGATTTTTTGCATGGATAGCATGGAGTAAGGATTTGCTCCTTTCCTCCCTGAAGCCTGAATAGACCATGCTAAAGTGTATGCAGGTGTGGGGTAGAACAGCATGGCATTTGCTGCTGCGGCATGGGTATGATGTACATCAATGGCACAAAAATTAAAGATGCCATCTTGACTCTCCTTCTTCATCCTCTCGAGCAGCCATTGCTAACCTCATCTTTCCTGTGATGGCCTTGCCACATGCATCCTTTGTTTTCCCTTTAGCCAGCACTCTGAATTATGCTCTCTTTGACCTATGAAATATTATTCAGATCTTAATACTTAGGGAAAGCTTATTCAAACTACCTTCTAGGAACCTGAACCACAGGTTAGTAATCTGCCCAGCACTTTTCATTTGCAGAAGTATGAGAAAAAAGCCTTGTAGGTCATGTTCTGAGAAACCAAAATCAAGAACACAGTTCCAACTGAGCTGCAGAGTAGGGTTCTTCTGTAAGATCCAGAAGAGTCTGTAGTGAAGATCAGCAAACAGACAGATTCAAGAGATGCCGAAGTATAGCAAAGTTCCATGTTTCACATTGGGAACAATATTAGAATTGCCACAATTGTTATGTAGAGAACCATGACATTGGAAGAGATGAAAACTTTGTTGAAGCTTTTGGAGCAGTACTGATGAAAATATGTGTTATGTGTTTTCTGTTTGTATATTAACAAATAAAGAAAAGCAAAGGAACTTCAAATGTGCATTAAATTTGGATGCAAATGTCAAATAAATAGCCAAAGTCAAATACAAGATTCAGAAATGAGCTCAATTGATTCATTTCAAGTGTTTCTGCTGCCTTTTCATGATGTGATACAAGTTTACTCATCAGTGAGTGCCAGAACTGAGGAATTGAAAAAATGAGCATGTAATTAACTTGAATATTTATTTAAATGCCTGAATAAAAATGTCTTTACAGCCAGGCTAAAAGCAGGAAGAGAGGATATTTCCTAACCTCACTGGACTATTGACCTGACCTAGTAAGACAAATTTTAAAAATATACGTCTTTAAAACAGAAAGTATTCTGAAATCATCATCATACTTAGCTTTTTAGGGCTTCTGTAAAGTTTTTTGTTTAAAAGAAACAGCATTTGCTTAATCCTTATGGTAGATGAATAAAAAGGATTGTCAGAAAAGGGCTGTCATAAATTTTAAATGAGTTTCATAAATGCTACAACCAAATGTAAACCATCCAAAACAGGATTTCTAAAATGTACAATACCTCCTCAGTTTTCCCACTGATTCCTCTCATAAAAACTATCATGTGGATTAATAATTCATTGTTTTTGGATCTGACCTGGAGGAACTTTGACTGCAGTGCCTTTTCTACCTGCGTGTTTTCATTTTTTTAGAAAGAAAAATATTAATAAATAAAATGAAGATGTATATCTACTTGCTTTACACGAAACTTGGTAGGTGAGAACTTAGGTTAATTGGCTCTTTTGCTGTGACTTAGTATAAAAGGGAAAAAACCTTAATGTGGACCCAGGGACAAAAAAGTCCCAAAGCCCCTTGTTGGAGCACAAACTTTCAAAGGAAATAAAATGCTTACAAATTATGGATCAGAAAATGTCCTACTGTTAACTACACTTTAGGTTTGGTGTCTTGGAGTGGCCTTTCCCACTGATTCCTTTTCTGATACTTTTGTGCATTGCTTTTCTTATCTACTGCAAAAATGCTTCTGAAGCCTTCCTCCGTATAGCAGGCTGGGAGAGAAAGGGGATGATAGGACAAGAGCAGGAGGGGAAAGGACTGCTGCCTGCAGTCTGCTGCGTCAGACCATTTAAAGCCATAGGCTTGGAGTACCACCCTAAATACTTCTCAAATCCAGATCAGGAAGCCCTTTTTCTATTACATTGGATTAAAAAATAAATAAATTATGTATCATTTTATTCTCCTGAGAACATGCTCCCTTGAAAAGCATGTCACTTGAATGAAAAGTGTATCAATTAAAGGCTAACCTTGCCAAGTCTGTTAAAGAGATAAGTAGTCACAACTGATATCACCAGGCGGGAGTCCAGAGAACGTTATGTGGTTTTAATTTGAATAGAAATTTGAGTAAATGTTTTCATACTGCAAACCTTCATTAATGACTTACTGAACACTGCGATGTTTATAAACTTGCACCAAAATGTTTGTGGTGATTTCAGGTTGCAGTCTCATGCCCACTTCACTTCACAGAGACAGCAATGTCTGTATTTTCCCCACTGGGGCCAACAATATCTTTTAGTACAATGGTGTGATTTAACTGGATACAAAGTGTGAGAAGAGAACGTGAGGAGCCTTAAATCCAGTTACCCCCAGTTCTTCTGCTCTGCACAAACTCAGCACTCCCTTAGCCACTTTTAAGTAAACATTTAAAGTATATGTAATTTCAGCAACCCTTCAGGGTGGGTTAGATTGGAATAAAATGGTGACTGGCCCAAGATGAACTTCATGACTGA